TGAAATAAAAAGCGGCGATGTGGACTGAGCTGTTGGCTCTGTCCAGCAGGTGCAGCCAGCTGTCTGCGATGCTCTTTCTGGACGAGGGGGAAGACTGGTAGAGACCGACAGGAATGCTTTCCACCAGGTGCACTCTGAACAACAAGGACCACATTCAGCAGTACATTAGTTAATCCTGACAGGTGAATATAATATTTCTGACATAAATAACTCAAAAATATCCAGTTGCTGATATCATTTACCGACAGTCAGTGCTACAGGGCTCTGGTAACAATCCAAAGCCCTCCAGCCAGTGCAGCTCCAGCTGAGCCGTGAGCTGGGACACGGACATGGGAAGCCCGTAGTGCCACACGTGGTGAGAGAACCCTCCGAGAAGCAGCAAGGTGGTGCTCAGGAAGCAGAAGAGGGTAAAACTGGGACATCCTGACCTCTGAAGGATGATAAGGGGAGAATTTATACACTCCAACAGGCTACATCACACTCACAGCTTAAGCATAGCATAGCATACTGTGATGCATACCAAAGCTGCTACTGCAGGGAGTGGTAGAATTCTGAAGAATTCCTAAATATGCCTCAGCTGAGACGATCAAGGAAACAGACGCCAGTGGAAGCTCTCAGTCTCAAACAGTGACATAACTCACCTTGGCTGACTTGGTTGCTTTCACTTTAGCGGGCGTCTTTGGTGCTGCAGCAGCGTCTGAGTCGGGATCTGCTTTTTTCTCTTCGAGCTTTGGGAACTTTGACTGGCTTATGAGTAGTTTACGATCCTCCTTCACTTCCTCTGATCTCTCACCAGCCAACTCATCCTCACATTCAGCTTCTGATGAAGATATACTGTCCCTCAAACCAGCTGTGTTCAGTGGCTCTGTCTCCCATGGAGGTTCTTCGTCCATTATAGCTTCCACTTGGCTGTCCTCAGGTGCTTGAAAGATCTCTGCAGACTTTTCAGAGTCTCCAGATGGAGTGAGGAGAATCCTGTCTTTAACTGCGGGGTCGTACGTCTCCGCTGGCTCCTCCCAGGGTATCTTGCTGGGGAAGCTCTCGCGTGGCAGATGTGTTGTAGGCCCATCTGGGGTGGTTTCTGAGGTTTTGCTCTTGACTTGCTCTGATCTGAGAGCAGGCCGGGGGCTTGCAGTCAGAAGAGGGGAGTGAACAGGTTGAGCAGCAATCAGAGGGCCGTGAGCTGTCGCAAGAGCCACTTCTGTCCTGCTGAATGTAGAAGGAGCCTCGAAGCCAATTTTGGGGGTGTGGAACAATGGCGCGGGGAGCGCTGTTTCTCTGGGATCAGGCGGCTTGGACTTTGAAGTTTCCAGACTTCCAAGTTTCTCAGGAGGCTGAGCATGGACTGGAGTGTCCTTTCTGGGAACCGGCAGCTCCGTGCTCTGACTGGCTCCAGCGGGTCGCTTCTGGAAAGTTGGGATTCTGGAGACTGGTTTCCCACCTTTGCGGTTCATGTCTTCTTTCTCCTCGAGGTCTTTTTTCAAACTCTTTTCGTCAGCTTGGAGACGGTCCAGCACAACACTGCAATCCTTCAGATCCTGAGGAAGATGAAATATCTGTTATAAATCTGTGTAATCATGTAGCACACACACACACACACACACACACACACACACACACACACACACACACATGAAGCAGGGATTCTGAATAGCTTCATGGCACACACCAAAGGAAACGTAACACCTACGGCTATCTAAAAAGCTAGCAGTGAATCACTGAGAGACTTTTCCAGTCTTAGTCTTCCTGCTCCCGCTGGCTCCCGTCAACATCAAAGCTCCCACACTGACTAGCTACACCCATTTAAAGCAGCTCTCCTGACTGGTGCGTGGCTGCTGTTGACTTGTTAATATTTGTTTACCTGCATGACACGAGCCTTACCGTGGCTACAGCATTGTTTGACCTGATATTCTCATGGCAGTCAGTGCTCAACATTAGCCTTGCTCTGCTCCACCTCTGCCTGCTCATTTTCATAAATACACTGACAGCCCAGTGGTCCAAAAGTGGGCGTGGCCACTCTACAGGTCACATTTTATGGATGCTACATTAACTTGCCAGTAAAATATATAGCAGTGCCCCCTACAAACAAACAAACACTTAGATACGTACCTGCGTTTCCAAACATACTTCATATTACACCCGTCAGCCACAACATTGAAACCCCTGCACTGATTTTAATGGGTCACTTCATTGCACTGGGTCATTGCATTAATGTAAACGATACTTTGATACACTGTTGAAAGCCAAGCACATTTGCAAAACATGTTCAGGAACAGCCGCCAGGCTCCCCAGATCTACACTTCCAGAAAGATCCTCACTTATTAAAGACAATGAAGACAATGTCAAACCATATATGCATTCCCGTATAGTAAGTGAGACCTGGTGCTAAAGTGACCCAGCTGTAGTTAATCAGTGTCACCCATTTCATGAAAACTGGCACATTATGAAACAAAACAACCTCCCCAAACTGTTGAGAACAGAAACTGTAAAACAATCACGCCTGGAAGAACGTTTCTGTCTTAAACAAACAGCAATTTGTCTCCTCCCTTTTATCAAAAGAGCTGACGATGCACAAGTGGTAAAGACACGTTTTTAAAATGTGCTGCTGGCATCAGCATCATCATGCATTTTAATGATAATAATAATAATAAATTTTATTTATGAGCGCCTTTCAAGTCACCCAAGGACACTTTACAATAGGATAAAACACTTAGTAAAACAATGGCAGAATAAGAACAATAAAATAAAGCACAAGATAAAATGAACAAACAGTGGATTCACAGTGAATATGCAGATTTGAACAGATGAGTTTTGTTCTGCTAATCCAGTTTAGGGTCACAGTTGGGTAGGAGCCAATCCCAACTGTGAAAGGGTGAGAGACAGGGTACACCCTGGACTGGTTGCCAGTCTATGTGGCAAGGCTCACACACAGAGACAGAACAGATTTGCACTCATATTTGCAACTACGGCTAATTAACCCAACATGCATGTCCGAGTATCCAGAGAGACCCCAGGCTTCAGCTTTTGCAGATATATTTGAACCCAGCAAGTTTCATGTTTTACAGTTGCCTTTATTTTAATTACAGAAATACTCTACTATTCTGCAATATTCATTTACTTTAAATTCAACTGTATTCATATAATCATCACAGCAACAGTCACCTCAAGGTGCATTATACTGGGGTCTTCTCTCTACAATAATACAGGGAGAACCCCAACAATTAGTCGACCCCCTATGAGCAAGCACTTGGCAACAGTGGGAAGGAAAAACTCCCTTTTAACAGGATGAAAATTCCAGCAGACCCAGGCTCAGGGAGGGGCAGCTTCTCTGGTTGGTGGTAAGGGGAAAAAGACGAGACAATAGGCATGCTGCTGAAGAGAGCCAGAGACTAATAATAACTAAAGATTAAATGCAGAATGGTTTATAAACACAGGTTGAGTGAAGAAAAAACACTTGGTGCACCGTGGCCCCCAGCAGCGGACGCCCATTGCAGTGTAACTAAGGGAGGGTTCGGGGGTCACCTGATCCAGGCATAACTATTAGCTTTATCAGAGGGAATGTTTTATAGAGTTTTAAGGAACCACAAGAATGCCAGCTGTCTGAGAACAAAGTGCTCTTTTGGGGTGATATGAGATATTTAAGAGAGAGATGAAAATAGATATAAGCCAGTATTGATTGTGACTATTCAATCTTCTGTTTATTACTAAATAAGCAACAGCTCTCTTCTCTGCCAGCAGGGCAAAGGAGGTTGAGACATTTCCGCACTGGCCTGCCAGTATTTCCCGGAAGCGGTTTTATGCAGCTGCAATGACACAAAGCAGGATATTTATACTGCAGGGCTGTGCAAATAGGAGCTCTGCCACACCCAGGAGGCCTCACAGGTGGCTCTGCTTTGCTCCCTCCCCCCACATCATGCGTGCACAGAACAATATCTGAAAGTGAGAGAATGGGGGGTGTTTGTAGGTGAATTATAGCCTACCGTCAGATCTGCCTCCTCAGCAGCTTCCTCCTCCAGCTCAGCCTCACGTCTCTCCATCTCCTCCTGGAGCAGGACAAGCTCAGAGTCTGACTCGTCTGACTCCTGACAGGAGATATCGGTAACACCGTTAACGTTAACAAGCGATGGAATAAAGCACTAGTTGCTGCGTGCACTCTGCATTAAGTGTGTTAACCATTAAAGTAACAGAAAAGGGGAAGGAAATAATATGAAAGGTATTTTTTGTTATTAACCACATATAAACATCCTAAGCTAGTTAAAAAAACTTACCATGATTAGAGACCTTTAACTAAGTTTTGGCTCGCACGCGGAGTTAGCTAAAACAATGCTAGCCGCTTAAGCAAATATTTATTGCGGTAAAAAAAAAACAAAACTAAAGCAGTAAAGTTGGATGACTTAAGAGCAGTACGGCCTCTTTATAATCCTCGCTTAAGTATTCTACACGTATTAGCCAACTAACGTCTTCGCCGTTGACGTTAGCCAGTGAGCTACGTGGCCCACGATGAAGTTTGCAGCAGCGGAGGAAGAGGAGGCGGAAAGGAAAGGCTGAGTAATAGAAATCCCACCTCGTACGTAGCTCTCTCCTGCCTGCTCCTGGAGCTTCTCCTGGCTGTCGGTGTCGACGTCGGCAACTGTACCTCGCCGGGGCGGAGGGACTTTCTGGATCGCAGTACCATGGGCATCCTGGAGCACTTTTTTTTTTTTTAATAATGCAGCACCTTCGTGACTCGAGGCTTAACGGACGCTGCGGAGCGTTAACAGCGGGCTCGTTTGTCTGGGGTGCCGAGGAGAGCTCAGCGACACACCCGCTAAAGCTACGCTTCAGTTGATTTTTTGGGATATACTCACATTTATTAAAAACAAATCGATTGGGTCGTGTAAACAATCTTTAAATTGATTTGAATGCACCTACCTTCACGCCATACGTAAACAACAAATTGAAAAAACCGCGATTTCCTGTCTTCGCTGATTGGCGGTTGAAATCAAAACTGTGGCTCCTCCCACAAGTCTTGACTCACGTCACACAATGCGGAAACCAAAAAGGGATTACCGTCGTCGGCTGCACATCCCAGGAGTCCTTGCTCGCGAAAGGTAAGCGCTGTCTTTGTTGTTAATAAATTATTGCGGGTGTCTTGCGTGTTTTATGGTTCTAATGAGGAAGCAGACGGCCTCTGACCGCTGGCAGTAGCAACACTTCACATTAGCGCTGGCTCACAGTTACTTTCAGTTAGCCTGGCTGTGGCTGAAGACCCTGAGCGGAACAGCCGGTTGTTTATGCTTTTGTAAAGCTCAAAGGAACCTCAAGAGCATAAAAGCAAATCAATTACATAACGGAAGTGTGACAGAATGTGGCCGATTGTTGCTGTTACTGTGTTATGCTGCTTTAATGTTCTGCTGTTATCATTAATAACAACTGCATGACTGATTGAAAAGATATAGTTTTGTGGAAATCGGATTCGATTTTTCTTTCGAGTTTAGATATTTTATATCACAGTACTACAATATGAATCAAAGGCTTGGACACTACTGACCACACAGGCCACTACTTGGTCGACTGATCTACTTTGCAGTATTTTGTTCTGAAAACCGAGGAAAAAATCATCTTCCCATTGAACTTTTTTGTGTTTTTCTGCCTCTTTGAAGCTAAAATAGAAAGAAAGTGTACTTTATTGGTCCCCGTGGGGAAAATCCCTCTCTGCATTTAACCCATTCACTCAGTGAAGCAGTGGGCAGCCACTGGGCGCCCGCGGAGCAGTGTGTAGGGACGGTACCTTGCTCAGGGGTACCTCAGGGTAGTTGTTCAGGGGAATCGAACCCCCGACCTTCCGATCATGGGGCCACCACTCTACTTACTGAGCTATCCCTGCCCTGTAGGCAGGAAAACACATGAGATATTAATGGAAAGCCCAGGATGTCCTCTATTAAGTACATCAGGACTTAGTAGGGTAGCTCAAATAATCAAAAGATGTAGACCAAAAACAAATGTCTATTACAGAGGACATAAATGAATAAGCTAGTTCTCAGGAGGATATATTTATTTCTTTTTCCTCGTAATGATTTCTTTTACAAGCACAGTAGTTGTAAACGTGCCTGCATGTCACCTGAGGCAAGTGATTTGGAGAGGGCCTGTTATCACATGAGAACGCTGCGTGTGATAACATGCAGTGTTCTCATCATTCTTCTTGATCAAACAGCCCACACAAAAGGATGGAGGTGTATTTTAGGCCACTGTCCTACTGTGTGAAGGGATATGATCAAGGTACACAGGGGTGACACTGAGGATAGGTTCTCTGATCACATTTGTGTTATCAAGATTGTTTTTTTCCCCATCTTCTAACTTCTTGTTTTTTCATTCAGGTCTCATGTAATCCCCTCTGACAGAGAAGATAAGCTTTGGTTCTCTAATGATGATGATGATGACAATGCCAGCTATTTAATCACATCAGTAGTCCAATGGAAGCCCCAGTTACAGCCACCCCTCCTGCCAACTCCTCCAATTCGCCATCCCCGGCCCCCCTGCGTCCTGCTGTCGCCCCCTCGGTCCAGCTTAGCTTTACCGTCCTCTACACCACTTTGTACGCCGGGCTCTTTGTGGTGGTGTACGTGCAGCTGTGGCTCCTCTACATCTATGGACACAAGCGATGGAGCTACCAGAGCGGCTTCCTGTACCTCTGTCTGCTGTGGGCTGCCCTTCGCACCACCTTGTTCTCTTTTTACTTCCATGATGCCCTGCAAGCCAACCACCTCCCCGTTGCAGTGTTCTGGCTCCTCTACTGCTTCCCCGTTTGCCTGCAGTTTTTCACTCTCAGCCTCATTAACCTGTACTTCACTCAGGTAAGGTTGAAGGGATGTGGATGGGGAAACGTTCTTAAAAATCTTGTGTCATTTAGAAAATGTTGCTCAGAATGTAAAAAGAGTTGCTCTGGTACAGCCGTGGTGATAAAAGCACAAATAAAACTAGTCAGAGGAAAACACAAGAGCCCCTTACAGTGGATCATGTGTCCTCAGCTACAGCGCCACATTTTTTTTCCAACAATATCTTTATTATTTTTTACATTTTAATGACTTGCAAACAGTCCAACATTCTAAATACTACATGAACATACACTCCTCTCAGACAGCAAAAAGAAAGCAACAAAGTCGTCAGATTTGTCACTCCGTTAAAGGCCTAAATTTGTCATTATCCCAAATCAAATGTCATTGCCCTCAGTCCTCGTCCTCCTCAGATAATACAAATCCTTCTACAAAATTTACAAATGGTCTCCACACCTTCTCAAAAACATCCAATTTCCTTTTCAGTATACATGTTATCCGCTCCAATGGCAAAGCCACCATCATTTGTTTTATCCACTGTGTGATACTCGGTTCCCTTGTTTTTTTCCATTTTAGTGTGATTAATCTTTTTGCTTGTAACAAACCCATATCAATAAACATTCTGTCACTTTTTGTGTACCTCATGTTTTCTGGGTACAATCCCAGAATAAGGAAGCCAGGATCCAAAACAACCTCTTTGGATAATATTTGTTTGATAGTTTGTGTTACTGCAGCCCAAAAGGATCCTATCTTCCTGCAATCCCAAATACAATGCCAAAAGTTACCTTTATCTTCATTACATTTATTATAAGTGTCTGGAATATTAGAGTTGTACTTATTTAATTTTTCCGGAGTAACATATATTCGCATTAACCATTTGTATTGCAACAACCTTAGTCTAGAATTAATAGTTTGTTTATGAGCTTTTGCGCAAACCAATGCCCATTGTTCCGTGGATATGTCCTTCTTTAAATCATTTTTCCAGGCGTTCAACCTTCCCAACGAATTGTCAGATGTTTTGGACCTAATCAATTTATATATTTCTGATATTGCCCCTTTTTTTGAACTGCTTTTGCTAATTATGTCTTCCAATTCTGATTTTGGTGGTTTGGTGCAGGTATTATTTTGATTTGCTCGAATGTAACTTCTAATTTGGAAATATTTGAAAAATTGCTTTCTATCTATATTATATTTATGTCTAAGCATATCAAAGGAAATATCTTGAGAATCTGTTGCATACAAATCTTGGATTTTTTGTAGTCCTTTAATTGACCATTGTCTAAAAACTTTATCCTCTCTTCCTGGTCTGAAATCCTGGTTTCCCCACATCGGTGTAAACTGTGACAATACAACAGGTTCCTTCATATATCTTTTTACACCATACAACACTTGGACCATGTTCTTTACCATTGGATTTTTTGCCTTTTTAATCAAGTTTATTGCTGTGTCTGAGAAAAAATATAAAGGTAAAGGTGGATACATCTGTCCACTATCTCTGTTATTTCTTTAGAAAGTCTTTCATAGTCATTTTCCACGATCTCACTTAATTTGGGCGAAATCATTATTCCTAAGTACATAAAGTCCTTTACTGTCTTAAAATGAGATGTTACTATGGGTGGGTTTTTCCTTTCTTCTTCATTTAGTAATAAAACGGATGATTTAGATTTGTTAATGACATACCTGATATTTGACCAAACTCCCCTATCAATCTAAGCAGAGCAGGTATAGATTCTGTTATTTTAGAGAGATATACTATTACATCGTCTGCGTACAACGAAATCCTATGTTCTACTTCATTTACCATAATTCCTGTCAATGATAAACTCGAACATACGGCTATAGCTAATATAAACAACAGTGGGCTTATCGGTGAGCCTTGTGGACATCCCCGTTTCACCCTTATTAGTTTAGAGATATTTTTGTTTGTCAAGATTTCAGCAGTTGGATTTGAGTGTAATAATTGTATCCATCTTCGAAACACATCTCCATAACCAAATCTAGTCAGAACATCAAAAAGATAAGGCCACTCGACCCTATTGAATGCTTTTTCAGCATCCAGTGAGAGTAAGGCCCTCTCTGAAGAATTGTTTAGTCCGTTTATAATGTTAAAGACTTTTCTTACATTATGTAGACCTTGGCGCCCCAATATGAAACCGTTTTGATCTCTTTGAATTACTGAGGGGAGAATATCTTGCAGACGTGTTGCTAATATTTTACCTAACACCTTAAAATCAGAATTAAGTAAGCTTATCGGCCTCAAATTTTCACATTCATTACTCGGTTTTCCTGGTTTAGGTAACAAAATGATTAGTGATCCTGTTACTGATTTAGGGAGACTTCCTTTGCTTAATGATTCCTGATACATTTCCAATAGCGGTTTCATTAATTTACTTTTAAATTTTTTATAAAAATCAATTGGGAATCCATCTGGTCCAGCTTTTTTACCTGATCTCATATTGTTAATTGCCCTGCTTATTTCCTCTTCGGTGATTTCTGCATCTAATTGTTGTTTTACATCGTCAGCGATAGTAGGAATATTTATTTTATCCAGAAACGCATTTCTGGAGTTTTGATCTGATCTATCCTGGGATTCATAAAGTTTTTCATAATAGTTTCTAAACTCCTTGTTTATTTCAGTCGGATCCATTATCATTTCCCCTTTGCTGTTTATAATCGACGTTATATTTTTCTGCACTTCCAATTGTTTAATTTGCCATGCCAATATTTTTCCAGGTTTCTCTCCTTGTTCATAAAAAGACTGATTTAATCTCAAAATGTTCGAAGCTGCTCTATCTCAGCGCCACATTTTTATTCTTGGTCTTTACATGATTCACAATTCAAAATAACCACTGTTCATTTTAAACTGGAGCCTGGTGCAGCCGTTCAAGTAATCTACTGTGAAACATGATGTTGTAGCTCCTTTCCCTTTCACGCAACTTCCTTCTAATTGATCGTATTAAAAAAAAGGCTAACAGCTCTTGTGACTATTATGCTCGTGCCACAGACTTCAAAGAAGTATAACAGGACTGACTACTCGGCTGTGTTACCTGCAGTTCTGCCCCCATCAGATCTTAATCAAGCCTGTTGTGTTTTGAGCAGGATGCATTCTTTGTGTCTTTATGTTTATGTGGGTGTCTTTGTGTCTTTGTGCAGGTATTAGTGAAAGTGAGAGAAGTGGACAGAGGGCTGTAAGTTTTACATCATTTTCCTGTTGTTAAATCTAGAAAAGCGCCTCGTTACGTTATTGTTATGAGCCCTAATCGTCCCGATTGGACCCCCTGTATGTATGTTCCTCAGGTGGGCAGCAAGGTGTTTGTACGGTGCGCTGAACGCCATCTTCTTCTGCGTCAACGTGGTGTGCGCTGCACTCGGGGAACGAACCAGCGATGGCGAGAGGGGAGAGCGCACCTGGAATCTAGTCCTGGTTCGAGTTGTGGTCAACGACTTGCTCTTTATCCTGGAAGCAGTGCTGCTGGCCTCCACGCTGTTGCTCCTGACCCGACACTCGCGGTCCGCCAGCATCCACCTGATCAGCAGGGTGTGTTCAACGTTGTTCCCCAGAGAGAAAAATAGGGATATGCTAATCTTGCACTCACTATTGACTTCACTGCACTGGAGTTTATACTCAACGAACGATGCATCTGCAGCTCAGATGTGTCTAGACAAGCTAGCTGTTTAAGAAAGGAAATCTCGTGGTATCTACTCAAAGTATGTCAGTATCAGCATCAAACATGAAGAAGTGGTACTGAGCCAGCCCTGATGAACCGAGCCAAGTTTAACAGCAGCACACGCATGATTAAACTCATGTTTAGTCCTGAGCTGCTTGGAAAAACAATGCGTGTCATGTCTCCAGTCTGAGAAGATCACGGGACTGACATCACTTTGACATCATCGGGGTTATCTCAGCTTGAGCTGCTACACTACATATCTCCAACAGATCGTTTTAGGTGTTGCGTTAAAGGCAGCGAGGCTCCTTTTTAGCTACACAAAAGACATTTCCTCAGGTGAGAGGTGAGACGTCTTCACGAGAGCCTACAAAGAAGTCCAGTTACCTTCAGCTCAAGTGCTTAAAACTACCAGAACCTGGATCACAGACAACCTGCACCAATGTCTGTAACAGATCTGTGTAATAAGCACTGAGATGCATTATGGGAACTGTAGGATCCAACATTACTTGAGTGATATAATGGATGAAAGCAATGTTGAGCATAGCCAGAAAAAAAATGTGATGCTGGACACAGAAAAGCCAGGATACTACCATAAAGAGCGATGGGGATGTCTGTATTTTGACAGTACTCCAGGCTAACTTTGTTTTTATTTTTTAACCTGACCAGGGGACCACAGTGTGGCGTACAGCAGCACTGGGAGGAGCAGTGATCTTCCTGTTTGCCAGCAGAGCCTGCTACAACCTGACCGTCCTGTTTCTGTCCCAGAAGTATCGGGTGGAGTCCTTTAACTATGATTGGTATAATGTCTCTGACCAGGTAAGGATCCAGTACCAAAGCCTTCATGTCTGCTTCACAACTTTGGACAATTAAGGTGCCCCTAAAGAGCACTTTCTGCACTTACTTGTTTTAAGGCGGACTTGGAGAGTGAACTCGGCGACAGGGACTACCTGGTCTTCGGTGCCATTCTCTTCATGTGGGAGCTGCTTCCAACTGGCCTCCTCATCCTTATCTTCAGAGTTCGCCGGCCTGCTCAAGAGGTAAATCTAGTGGATGTGAAAGTAATGTCCCGAACTAAAAATCTACTAATGACACCTGAGACTGTATTAAATACAATTATTTACTGCTTTATTACTCAAAAAAATAGTGCAAAATCACAACAGCAGTCGCCTCAAGGTGCTTTATATTGGAAGGTAAAGACCCTACAGTAATATAGAGAAACCGCCAACAATCATATGACCCCCTGTGAGCAAGAACTTGGCAACAGTGGGAAGGAAAAACTCCCTTTTAACAGGAAGAACCCTCTGGTAGACCGGGCTCAGAGTGGCAGCCATCTGCTGTGACCGGTTGGGTTCAAAAGTGGGAGACAGAACAGAAGACACGCTGTGGAAGAGATCCAGAGATTAATTATAACTAATGCTCTTCCTCCCATTCTACTTTTAAGTAACCACAGAACCTAAAAGTAAGCCCGCAGACTGAGAGCGAAGTGCTCTAATGGGGTGATATGGTACACTGAGGTTTTTAAGATAACATAGGGCCCGATTATTCAAGACCTTGTGTGTAGGGAAAAGGATTTTTAATTCGAAACATTATTTCATCTCATTTTCACAGAACAGCATCATGGCTATAAACAACAGGGTCCTGCCTCGGCCGTACTTCTTTGACGACCCTCAAGGCAGCGATGAGGACATACCCGCTCCATGGGCCAATGGTTCAAATTCAAACATAAGGTACAAGCACCACAAAATCTGATACACGCAGGTCATTACCTTAAAGCTGATCACAGGGTTTCAGAAGTGTGAGAAGAGCTCTCATCTTCTTCTTTTCTTGCTTTTTCCCCACAGCTGGTACGGATCAGAGACCGCGCCGCTCCTATTTGCCAACAATCCTCCAGACCAGAACCACCAGCACCACACTCTGTATTCCACTCCTCAAAACTGACCCCCCCCCTCCCCGAGTTCTTGTTTCCTTGATGACATTTATCTCAAAGACAAGCCGCTCTCTCTCCTAGACACACTCACAGCCAGTAGTCCCTCACTGTGTGAGCAAATTTGCACTGAAAAGTCTCAGGAAATCATCACCAAACAGTGAATATGCACCTTCTATTTTTCTAAAGAGACTGTATTTAAAAAGTTCTTCCTCATTTAAAGGGAACAAGCTATGTAGAAACAGACCAAACTGACTTAAACTGGCCAGTACTGCTCTCTCATGAAGATCATACTGAGCTACAGCCACAGGTTGACTTCACACACATGCCATTGTTCAATTTTGGAGAGACCCTTGCCATTTCCAAAGAAGAGGATGGCACACACGGCCTCATTTGCATTCCTGTCGGTGTGATGTCGATGCTAAGTTCAGTGAAGTTAAACAGCGACTTTTTCTTTTTACAGGCTCACATGTGATCGTTTGTCTTGTAGACAGACTGTTTCTTTTTGGTGTTTGCAGCTAAGTACTGTTTTAAGACCAGGGATGTCCTTGGCCTGTACACTGCTGCTGGTATAGTTTTCTTTCATCTTTTTTAAAGGCCAGTGTTTGCTCCCATGTCTGTAAAAAGTTGCATCGTTTAAATATTTCTAAGTTGACTGAAGTCCTTATTGGATCTCTAAGTTTAACTTATTTTATAACTGTGGGTCTACCTGTAATTAGAGTTGGAAATCAAACGCGACTCACCCTTTGCGACTTTTATGCAAAAAAACCAACTTCCTCATAGTCTGTCACTCACCTGTGGTTTGGACTTATCCACGTGACAGGTATGTACTGTCCATGCTACAGACCAATAACAACATCAGAATAAACCTGCTGGGCATGTTGCTGAGCAGAAAATCTATGTGGTAGAAATTCTGTATCTACAGTGGTGCTGTTATGCATTTTAGCCCTGTTACTGTGAAGGGTATGTGACTCGCTCTTTGAAATTCAGGACTCCTTTTGTCTTTTATGTAATTGTTGACTGATAAAAAATAATAATCTAAAAAGACTCACTGTGCCACATGCATTACTTAGTGCTTCAGTGTAAGGGTCCGCAACTGCTTTGGGGTTTTCATCACAAATATCAAGTGCACTAAGTCTGAAAACATGACCAACACCTAACTAAAGATGCATGTTAAATAATTCTTCCATTAATTATCTGGATGAATATTGACCATGGACTGTATGAAAAAGAAAACAAAGCTGCAGATGAGTTTGGAAAGTGGAGTCAGCATTAAAGTGTTTTAAAACCTGCATTCTTTTTAATGGCCAGCAGGGGGCGATGACAATGGCTGTCAAAAAGATGTTCTGAAGTCTTGGAAAATGGCCCTCTGATCATTTTTGGGCTCAGTGACTAGTTTCAGCTAATAGACTAAAACATGAAATTAATTTAGTAAATTATTGGTCCTAGTAGTAGAGCTGGATGGATCAATCCAAATATCTATACTATTAATACCAGTGCTGATATGGTTATTGGATTGATACTAGCACAATAGGATCAATACTTTATTTCTAGAGTCCCAGAACCTCGAGTAATGTCACTGACATGTGTCATCATGGCATGATGGGTTGCTGTTTTAAAAAATGTTATAATCTTATTCCCTTAATAAATGGAACCATTTGACCTGCACTGGAGCAGACTGGGTTTGCAATGATGCAGATGTTTCCCAGTACAAAGCAAAACCAGGGTTAACCCCAAATTTATCTGGATAAGCCAAAATTCTGCTTTGTAGTGCAGGCCTCTGGTTTCAAACCACCAAGACGTGAAACCAAACGCTTCAAGCAGCACTTTACAAGCTGATGTGTGATAGTACAGCAGCCATCTTTCGTATACAGTCTGTGCCTAACATCTATAGATAATGACTGGACACAATACCAGTGTTGTTAAACCTTCAGTCACTGTTATATCGTACATGGTGGGAAAAGAATAAATGCCTGACAAGAGTTTGCAGTTGTACAACACACCAACTGCACATAAAGGACAAGTGAACCTTAAGATGCAGTGCTGACATCCGAGTTTTTCCTCAATGATTCTGGCTAATGCCCGACTTTCAGATACCAGAAACACGAAAACATTTTAGCCTGATTGAACTCAGCGTTAAAAGAAATGTTGTGCAGTAGTTCTGTCTAGGGATGGGTACCGGTATCCGGTGCCATGATGGCACCGGTTCTGACATAAACGGCAGTAACCAGACCGAAAAGCAGCGCACATTTCGGTGCTTTTTTTTTCCTGAGCTGTGATACACTTTAGATTCTAGCCAATCATTTTACGTTTCCGAGGATAGTAGGCGGGTCCAGGTACGTACGTTCTTTTAGAGCAGAGCTACAGATTAAAAATGCCCAAGGCAAAGCGGTCAAAAGTCTGGCTGTACTTCACAGCAAAAGATGCAAACTCAGCAGCCTGCAACAAGTGCTTTAAGCTGATACTGTGATATTGTCAAAGGAGGTAACACCTCAAATCCGATGAAACATGTGGCGACGCATAACGTTTTTTTAAAAGCCGAGAAATGCTTGCTGCAAGACCTCACACCAAGCACATCTACTGTGGGTGTGATGCCTGTTATCGACCCGGAGTTAGCAACATCCCCCAAAAACCCGAAGAGTAGAGTCCTGGGCCCGTATCCCTAAAGAATCTTTGTGCAAAAAGTGGCTCCTAGCGGCCAAATTCTAAGAAAATTCTCGGAGTCGTGACGTTTTCTTAGAATTTCCCCTAAAAGTGACACGACAATCCCAGTTAATATAAAAGCTATTCCTCAAGATTCCTAGCGCTTAAAAGGGCTCCTAAGGCGAGATCTGCTAAGAGCAGGGAAGAGGACTTTTAGTGGCTTAGGAGTTCCCCTAAGCAGCTGCACAAAATGGCCAACAGAAGAGGCAGGAGAGATGTCCTGCAAACACTGGATGACAGGGAATTATTGAGATGCTACAGATTGGATCGTGCAGGAATCATGTTTGTGGTGGATCTCCTTAGAGATGCAATTACTTCACCAACTCGACGCCACAACGCTATTACACCGGAGACGAAAGTAATCACAACCCCGAGGTATTTGGCAACCGGGAAAATGCAACAATGCAGCAGTGATGACTTGGGTCTGCAATCACAGACATTGCTAAAAGCTGAGCCGTGTTACCCTCGTTAAGACCACACTGGACTTGTAACGTTGTGATTTCTACTTCATTAAGGACAGCCTCTTGAGATAGGCCATCTTGTTTTCAACGGGGTCCATATGGGAGTGAAAGTACAACATATGTCAGCTAGGATATTAATATGAGCAAATAAGACACGAATCATTATTTGAACAGGGTGTAATGAGTTTAAGTTTTCACATATTTTAGATTCTAATGGCTATAACCCCTACAGCTTACTATTCATTTTCCAGATATTTTCTTGAATGTGAAATATTATTTACAATTACAGTCAGCATAAGATTAGAGTATATAATATGTTTATTGATTTGAGGGTACATCCTTTGCTCATTATCACCAAAAGCTCATTTCCATCAAACTTGTAGGATCAACCAATCACGGCTTTTGAAATGATGACTCACACCTAGCAACGGGGTCAACCACACCTCCTCACTAAGATAGGATTTTCCATCCATTCCTTGCTCAGAGTTCACTGAAAATGTTCTGGAATCACTTCTAAGCTAAAACTCCTGGCAAGGAATTTTTAGGTTAAGTTAGGAGCTCTCTGAGAGGATTCTCAGAATCTTTAGGGATACGGGCCCTGGCCCCTAGCAGTGTTGCCAACTTAGCGACTTAGCGAGTTTTCAGACCCCTTAGCGACTTTTTTGCTAAAAAAAAAAAAAAAAAAAAAAACAGTCGCTTTTTTGCTAAAAAAAAAAACAAAAGTCGCTAAAAAAAAAAAAGAGTGAAAGCGCTTATCTCTTTTACTCTCAACAAGCAGCGGGTGCTGTAACACAGTCAGTTCTTCTTTTACTCTTATGCTGTTTTGTGGATCACAAGGTTTAAAACTACTTATAAACACACAAAGTAACTCCACCAGAGTGCCTATTTCGGGTCACTTGTCGGTCCAAGCCCGGATAAAGGAGCAGGGTTGGAATTGTGACATTAAGAAAAAACAATAATTGCTAAAAGAAATTTAATTTGTAGTTCTAAATAAACTCTAAATGCATTTAGGACGTTTTTTACTCACTTTATGTCTCTTCCACGATGTTATTTCTCTCTCCAACAACATAGGTTACAATTAGATTAGCATGACCAATTATGCAAATTAGGCGATGACGTCATTTAGCGACTTCTAGCGACTTTTAGGACAGCCAATAGCGATTGAGGAGTTGGCAACACTGGCCCCTAGCCCTGCCAGTGTAACAGAAATGATGACGGATGATGACGGCAGCAGCAGCCGTTCTTCTCTGCGTGAGTAGTGTGAGGCTAACCACGTTATTACATTAATGCATGTAAGGTGAACTAGCAAACATCATCATAGCTACATGCGGCTGTCTTCTTGTTTGATGGCAGATACTCCCTTCCAGAGGTGGGACCAAGTCATTGTTTTGCAAGTCTCAAGTAAGTCTCAAGTCTTTATCCTCAAGTCTCAAGTCAAGTCTCAAGTAATGTCAGGCAAGTCAGAGTCCAGTCTCAAGTCACTGGTGTAAAAGTCCGAGTCAAGTCACAAGTCTGAAACTTTGAATTTCAAGTCCTTTCGAGTCTTTAAAAAAAAAAACAACGAAAAAATAATGTTGCAGTTATGCTAAATGTAAATATTAGACCATGTAATTTTTTAATCTGTGTTTTTCTCAACACATGACAAAATAGTGAACTTAGAAAATATACACAAATTGTGAAATTGCACCTCTTTAAAATGCAGCTCAATTAAAGCTAGCTCCAAGAATAATTTTCACCGACAGTTCTGAGATAAGCTGCATGTTATTCTTGGATGCGGTTGTAGGACCGGCTTTAAAATCGCATGACAAAAATATCATACACATTAAAAAAAAACTGCATCACCAACGTAGCCTGGACAACATTTGCTAGTTAGATGAAGTCAGCTATCTCATCGTAGCATATTTATATGCATATTTATAATCATACGGTTCTTGGAGTGAGTGCATACACCAGGGGTGCTCAATACGTCGATCGCGATCGACCAGTCGATCGCAAAGGTAGTATTGGTAGATCGCATGGCATTAAAAAAAATAGATGCCAGCCTATCATCCATCCCGTCACTTGATTGATACAGGGAAGCCAGTCAGATTACATCAGATTTTTTCTGACGCTTAGGTCGCTGCGCATGCGCAAACAGCGGCGCGAAGTGTAGTAAAACTGACAAGCTAGTCAGCGAGTTAACTCCAATTTTTAGCTCTAGGTTTTTTCTCTTAAACCTGGCCGTCAGCAGCTACTGTCCGGACTATGCATCCCTGGCTGATTCAATTCAGTGCAAGTCATCAGAGTAAACTCAGGTAATGACAAAAAATTTACATAGTTAATTGTGTTGTGAAATATTGGATATTGCGGTTATGCATGTATACATTGTAGATATAAAGAATCCTCAATATATTTATAAATAAGTATATGTTTTGGATTTTTGTAGTGGGTAGATCATTTTGACTTGGTCATTTTATAAGTAGCTCACATGCGGAAAAAGTGTGAGCACCCCTGGCATACACTCATGAAGTTTAGTAACTTCCGGTCACTGCAACAAGCCCAGGTACAGTTTACCGACAGATGGGTACAGGACCTTGAAATGCACCGTGTAGAACGAAAGACCATCGTAAGTATCATAAGTTTACCAGTCTCACGAATCGTCGTCATAAATACACATTCCTTAACCGTTTATTAATATAACCTTTGAGCTCAACGGTAATTAATTAGTAGTGGAAATAATTTCTGGTAGCATCACAGAAATGTAGCAGTGACAACAATATTGTATGCTGTAATCGTACTGGGCAATTAGTGATACAAAAAACCTGTTTTATCCTGTGAATAAAAGCATATGTTTTTGTCAATGTACCATAATAACAGAAGCGAAACGCAATATTGTGTCAGGACAATTCACTATTTATGCACAATAAATAAAGGAGCATAGCGCGACAATTTCTGTTCAGCACCAGACTTGCTTGTAACCTATATCACCAATTATGTTATGAAAATGACGTATTAACTACAACAGCAGACTGACCTTCGTGTAAATGCTTGGAGCAGACTAACCTGTGAGCTGGAGTGTTCTGGGACGTTATATTTGATCTTTGAATGGCTGCAATCCAGGCCATCCGTCGCGTCTTTGTTACTTTG